GCATTTATATAGAAAATTACTTTTTGTACATAGCAGCTCCATGTAGCTACTAATTTTTAAACTATCAATAAAGATACAAGCAAGGCCTTATCTTAAAAAAAAAAAAAAAAAAAACTCTAAACCTGCCATTTGGAGGTTAGCAACATAACTACTTCACTATATTTTTATTAATTTACTTTTATTGTTTTTATTATTAAATTTGTATTAATAAAATAATTTATAAATATATTGATATTTATCAAGCCATACTAATTTATTTTTTTATTTTTGTTACTTTTATTAATAATAATATTTGAAAATATTAAACTTTCATAAAAACTTGATGTAGTCTAAATTATATAATATTTTTTAAAAAACAGTAAAAAATATCTTTATTTGATTATTACAATATTATTAATAAGTAATATCACTAATTCTTTTTCAAAAAATTTATTAATAATAGCAGTAAATTTTAAAAACTTTTAACCTATAATGGGTCATATTATTTTTATTATTTTAAAAAAATTATTTAGTTTATTTAAACTAATTAATTATAAAGATTTATTAAATCTTTTTACTTTACAATATTTTTTTAGTTCAATATTCAGTTAGTTGCTATTGTTTAATCTATTAACAATAATTATTAGTAATATTTAGCAAAAGTTTGCTATATTTAAAACTTATAGTATTTTTATTTATTTTATATAGTCTTTTTTATTGAACATGCAATAAGGGATTTTTATATAATCTGTATAAAAAGTATTATAAGTCTCTATAGTTATACTATTTATAAATGTATACTTTTTAATTGTAGGTACTATATATTAATATTAAGCATAAAATTAAGAAAGCTAATGATTATTTTGAGTATATTTTAAAAATATTTTAATAAATTTTGAATCTAATTTAAAATGAAGATCAGTAAAATTAATTGTTAGTAATTAGAATTTGTGTTTTATTCTATAACTGAAACTAGTTACAAAAATTATAAATAAATAATTCTTTACAATTAGCAATATACATTCTAAGAAATTTGTAATAAATTTGACATAACTATTTATTATTAATTCTTAGCTTCTTATAATTCTTATATAAATTGTTAAGAATAAAAATTATTATTTTTATTAGATTTTACAGTTTATTAAAGTTAATACATATTATATCTAATATATTCTTTATTATTTTAAGGCTGATATATTAAGAAATTAATATTAATTACTTTTTAAAAATTTGAAATACTTGGTTTCTGTATTGGTCATATAAAAAATCTTTAGTACTACTTTATATTATATTCAAAATACTTTAGTATTTGCTTTTAGTTCAGTATAATTATAACCTGTTTTTCAATATATTAGATTGACATAATATTATTTTTTTTTAGTCTAGTTTTGGCAATCTGGTTGATAATATTTTTTATCTGAGATTCTTGCCTATTTGACTTTTTATATTAATTTTATTTCTTAAGTTTAATCTTTATAGTAATACTGTCAAAAATTTGTGTTATTTTTCTGCTTGGGTCTTTCCAAATAGGCTTTTTATTTTTTAATTTTTACAAATTTATACAACTACAAGAACTTATTATAAGTTTGTACTATCTAATACTGGTTTGCATTTTTCTGTATAACTAGTTATACAAATGTACTATAATTTGCTAGTCATACTAATATGATTATAATTATAGATATATTAATCTAGTTATTGAAAATAGTTACTATAATATGAATATTATATAGATAATTATTCAAATTTTTATTGTCAATAGATTTTAAACTTATAGCTTACTATTTAAAAAATTGACTATATATTTACTTTACTAAGTTGTTATACCTTATTATTATTATTTTTTTGTCTTTAAAACTTATATATATAATTATTATATAATCAAAATCTTTTGCAATATCATTATTATATAATATTTACATTTTATAATTAGGTTTTCTGAAAATTTTTTTATTCAAATTCATATATGAACTTGTTTTACAAAACTTTATATTTAATTATTAGATTTTTTAATATTATAAAAACAAAACTTAAGAATAGTAATTCTAATATAGTAGTTGAATTAATATCCTTTAAATAACAAATTTAAGGTTCAAATTCTATCTATAATAAAATTTGAAAATTAATTTGTATTATAAAAAAACTGTCTTTTGTTGATCAGTTGAATTTAGATATCTGTAATCTTGAATATAACCGATCAGGTTTTACTTATCATTCAGAACTTGGAGCATCTATATAAAGTATAATATTATATATATATAGAGGAATGCTAATAACTAGTATTGCATAAGATTTTAGTATAAATTTACAATTAGATCACTGGATATAGAAGACCAAAAAACAGAAAAAACAGAATTCTATTTGGAAATTCTCAAGTAAAGAGATAACACAAACCTTTAATAGTGTTATCAAACTGATGAAAGTTCAGAAAACTTCAATAAAAAATAGATAAATACAATCAGATAATAAGATGTATAGATGAACACATAACCAACTAGGCTGCTAAAATTACCAAAGAAAAAGAATACTAAAGGTATAGTATACTAGGCTATCTGAATTGAAAATTTGAAAAGTTTATCAGATTCTGAGTTAGATAGTAAAAAGATAAAAAGAAGAAGTCAGAAAAATAGATATTAAGATTTGAATAAACTTTACAAAGATAGAAATACTGTAATATAACATAGTAGTTAAACAGATAATCCTTGTAACTGCAAATGTTAGATAACTATAACATATTATATAAAACAAGGTTAGCTGTATATAGAATATAAAAAACTCTAGTAACAATGCTTCTGAGAATACATTGCATGAAACAAGATATAAGGTCCTAAGGGTATGAGTAAAAATATTTAGACCTTCTTGATTGATGTATGTACTAAAGATGATCTAGTAACATAGTAAGAATTGCAGTACAGATGATTAAATAAGCAATGCTCCTAGTTGGATTGCAGATATAACAACTAGTGTAGAACCATTGATGGACTACTTAAATTAGACATCAAAAGTATATATGTAACTAGTTGTACTCTCTAATGTAAGGTAACTCCTTTGAGGCCTCAACTATAAGTCTCTATGTCCTAATTACTGAATAAATTCCTAGTTCCAAAAGAGGCTAGTTTAATATCTAAAAAAAAAATAAAAACAAAACTTAGTTTTGCTTTCAACCTATTTTATATCATTAATTTTATTTGTAAGAAAGGGTTTGAAAACTTAACAAAGGAAAATAATAATTATTATTGTTTATAATTTTTATTATATATTTGCCTATATTAGTTTAAAATTTAATTTTATATATTTATACAATAGGCTACTAATTGTACTTCTTTATACTTATTCAAAACTACTAAAAAGTTAGAACATTTAAAAGTTATTATTTTTTACTATATATCTTAATATTTTTGCTATACAAAACCTTTAAGCAATTTTATATACAGTATATTAAAAATTTTAGATTATTTAAATACTTTAAAAGCAGATTTAATAGTTTCTTAATAATATGATTATTTTTTTCGATTTTTTTAGACTTAATTAAATTTTTTTTAGTTTTAAAAATTTTAAAAGTGTATGCATTTATAAATATTTTAATATACAAGATTATTTTCAACTTTATTATTAACTATTACTCACACTTTGTATAAAGAATCTTCAGAAACCCAAGAATAAGTATCTAAAATTTTTATTTTTATTTTTATTTTAATTTCGATGAAAGTTATAAATAAAATTTTTTTTTATAAATATAAACTTACCTATAAAATTTAAGACGTCAATAATATATATACTGATGTTTAATACCATAGATATGTTTTAGTAATATTTTTTTTACAAAAATTAGTTTACTTTTGTAAAACTAAATCGAACACAAAGTTTGAATTTAAGTATACAAATTTGCATACTTAAATTGACAATTTAAGGGATAGTTGATCCGTTTATATTTCCAATAAGAATTTATGAATAACAAAATTTAATATTTTATAAGTCGCTATATATTTTGTCATTTAACAACTTGCTTGACACACCAGTAATATAAGCAAAATCATATGAAACCGTACAAAACGACATGTAGACTATTCGGGCAAAGATATAGGTTTCTCATACGTGAATGTATCAAAAATAATCCGAATCTTCATATTCATCAGTAGGGTCTTTATCGGGTCCATCGAATGTAAACAATTTATTTTGTTGAAATATGGTCTTTGTAAAAATGGATTATATGAATACATTAAAATCGAATCATTTAATAAAAAGGGTTGAAATATTAACCTACCTTTGCATAAAATTCGATATTGAATTTAAAAGGCCTAAAACCAAAATTAATTTCAACTTGAGAATGACTAGTTTCCATACCAACTATTGGATATAATTCTCCTGCGAAAATATTTGCACTAGCGATTCCTATTATAGAACATGTTAAATTAATTAAAGTTGTATAAATTTGCGAAAAACAGGAAGGAAAAACAAAAACCTAAATTAACTCCATTTTTTGTAAAAAAAACAATTCGGTCATCATAGTTTAAGCAACATCCAATTGTGTCCCCTGCCGAAAATGGAGGCCCATATAAATTTCCAAAACCTCCTTCGCAATATATTAAGCCATCATCACCATGATATCCTATAGATTTAAATTCCCATCCTGAGGTGCAAGTATCGAATTGTTACTATGTATTCAAATTTTAAAGATAAGAAATTAAATAAGCAAATACCTGTATGTCTTTCGAGACTAAAACTTTTTCTAGCAACCCCAATACTAGCCGGTCTATAATTTAATGTAATAAGTATAAAGATCAAAAATAAATGTGAATAATATCTTTAATTATTTACGTACTCATTTAAAAGGTTGATTTCAAAATAGTAAATACCGGCCTCATAAGGAATAGGGTGATTTGCTCTGATGGAAGATGTCCCACCTCCTAATTTATATTTAATTATATTAAGTTATTATATTTTTAGATTTTTTATCTAATAATTACAAATAATTTAAACCAAAAGATATCATATAATGTATATAGATAACAAAATGCATTTTTATTTATTCGTGAAAAAATATTCTGTTGGTTAACTCTGATTATAACTTTTTTAAGCGACATCAATTTACCTGTGTGTAGAATGCTCAATCCATTGTCTAAAACTCGTACACCTCTTGCGCGATCTTTTTTATTAAATTTTGTTGGTAATAATATTTTTTTGTCTGCGATTCTGTTATAAATATGTGAAGGACTATTACGAAGATATAACGGAATAAAAGGTAAAGAATTTTCATTTCTGATGTTTGGCATTGTGTGTTGAGCAGATACCAAAAAATTAAAGATGTTTGACAACAAAAAGACACCAAAAAGTTAGAGATGTGCGAGTGATACAGACTTTAAAAAAGGATATTTATAATCGACGATGGGCAAATTAGCTTTTTTCAAATTTCATATCCATGAAATTCTTGCCTGCATTATGGCAGCTTGTTGCTAATGCAGGCCAGAATTATCAGTTTCCGAAATATTCCGAAAACACATACGTAATCATAGGAAGGCTTTCGTAGGATTAGCATTATTTATACTCCACTATCAAAATCCCTTGAAGTTAGCATGGTAATAAGTTGATATTGTTTAAAACCAGAAATGATTTTGATTATTTTTAATGGTTGAGTCCTACAATCTTTTATATACTTCTTTTTGAGTTTTATTTTTTAAAAGGTACAATAAACTGTATAAATAATGTAAAATTAAACAGCCAATCATACGAAAGTCTTCCTATCGGATAGTTATAATGGGTGATCTGGTTGTTTTGCCGGTGATTTTCTAATTATTATTTCTGGTTGGTATTTTGTAATTATATTATCATTTGTACGTCCATAATTTATGAATGACCGGATTTTAATTTTTCATATTCGAATAGTTCTCCACCATTATGTTGGAAAAAGGGCTGAAAATGACGAAGAAAAAAAAAGATCTTCGAAAAATCAATTTTATATTATAAATCCTATAATAAATCATAAGAAAATTCAAACTTTAAAGAGTTATACTGCAAAACTTTATTAATACAACTACATGTCTTAAGTGAAAGATAATTTTATTCTAAATTAATTTGTGTAAAAATAATTTATTTAAAATAATTGTCATTTTTTTCGGTTCTTTTTCTAGCATTTAGTCCATATATTAATTTTTTTAGTAAATGATAATTAAATTATTGTTATTCTAACAATGATTTATTGTATTTAATTGGAGTTTTTAAACAGTTGGTGTTTTCTTAATAGATTGCTCTATGAAAAATATATACAAAAATAATAAAAAAAAATTACAAATAATATACTGAATAATAAGTTTATATAATAAATAATATTGGATTATTATATTGAATAGATATGAAATTATTTATAATACAGAATAAATATAAAATTATTAAACTAAATAGATATAAAATTATTTTTGATATAGAATAAATGCTAAATTGTTATACTAAATAAATACTGAATTGTTAGAATGAATAAAGGGTAATAATAGGTAAATAACAGAAAAAAATCTGCTATTATTCTACTTTATATCTGCCAAATAATGATAGTATAACAGTAGCATAATAGTAGAATAACAGTAAAATAACAGAAGGTTTGTTAATATAAATAACATAATAGTAACATATTAGCAAAATAATAGAACAATTCTATTATTTTATTTTTAGTTACAAAGATTAAAAGTAAAATAATAGAACTGTTCTATTATTTTGCTATTATGTTATATTATGTTACTTATATTGACAAACTTTCTATTTTTTTACTATTATTTTACTATTATTCTGCTGTTATACTGCCATTATTTGGCAGATATAGAGTAAAATAATGGCAGATTTTTTTTCTGTTATTTACTTATTATTTACTCTTTATTTATTTATTCAATCTAAGAAATAAGTATAGAATTATTTTAATATAAAATAAATGCTAAATTGTTATACTAAATAAATATAAATAAGAATGTGATAATTTAGTAAAGTGAACAAGTTAACATTCTTCCAAGTGTCAAGTTAGAAGTTTAAAACCTACTAATAGTAAAAATTTAGATTTTTATTAGATTACAGCAACTGTTTTTAATAATTGAGTTAAAATACTTATAATAATAATTATATCAGTATAACTAACAAGTTATGAAGTATTTATACAACTAGTTATATAGAGAAATGCAAACAGATAACAAACAATACAAACCTAAGATAAGTTCTTGTAACTATATAAATCTATTGCAATTTGAAAACAAGAACCCTATTTGAAAAGATCTAAGTATAAAAATAAAACAAATTTTTAATAATATTATTATAAAGACTAAATTTAAAAAACAAATACTAATGTAAAGAAGCTTAACAGATAAAAACCTCTAAATAGAGATATTACTACCAAGTTATCAAAATTTTAATTAAGAGAGTCAGAGAAAAAAGATATTAAACTAATCTGATATACTAATAGACTGGTTATAGTTCTATATAAATTATTTAAATTAGAAATCTAGAGACAGAAGCAAAAGTGTACTAAAGTACTAACAATATACTGTAAAATAGTATTAGAGTTTAAATGAACTTTATAAGAATATAGTTCTGTTAAGGTCTATAAAGTAGATAGGTAAATTAACAGAAAGTTTTTTATATTTTATTGCCTAGTGATAAACATTGCTATGATCTAAGTACTAGTACAAAAAGGAATAAAGTTAAATCTAGATGGTTCTTAATAGAAAATATAACAGGTTATTTAGTTTCAAAATAAAATAGTTAGAGTTATATATATACTAATTAAGTAAGTCAGAGAGTTTAAATAAGGCACTTACAAGTAATAGTTAGATATAGCAGATAGTAAGTAACTTTAAGGCAAAACTTTTAAATAAACAATAAAGTTATATATATAACTAGCTATATTTTTACAAACTATATATGTACTTAGAATATCTTTAACTAATAAAAAATTATCAGTTTAGCTAAGTGATTAACTGCTTATTTTAAAAAAAATAGATACAAAATTATTTTTAATATATAATAAATATTAAATTGTTATATTAAATAAATATAGAATTATTTTTAATATAAAATAAATATTTAATTGTTATACTAAATAGATACAAAATTATTTTTAATATAAAATAAATGTTAAATTAATATACTAAATAGATATAAAATTATTTTAATAATACTAAATAAATATAAATTTATTTTTAATATAAAATAAATATTTATTTTTTATTTTTTTATTTATTTTATTTATTTTTATTTATTCATATAACATTATTTCTTAATCTGTAAGCTTTTTCAAACAAATTTGCTTAGAAAATTGTTAAAAATATGCTTATAATTTATATTTTTTAATTTTTAAAATATTTAAATAAAATTTTATTTGATAATATTTAAAAATAAGAATTATATTATAGCAGTATTTAATTTTATATTATAAGAAAAAAATTATATGTTACTTATAAGCTAAAAATAGACAAATTTAGAAAAATTTTTAATCAAAAAAATTATTTATTAATTTTTGGCAAACTCTTTAAATATTAATTTTAAGCTTATAGTTCTTAATATAATATTTAGTTTATATAAAGAATAATAATTTTTATTGGTAACACTTTTTATAATTTAGTTATAAAAATTTAGACTTGTACAAAATGTAAATTTTTTTTTAACTTTGAAAATATATAAAATTTTAAAAAATCCTAAAAAATTTTTAATAATAAAAATATTTAACTATAATCTTTAAAATTTTAATACATAAAAGTTTACAATATTTTAAAAAAAGTTTTATAATAAAGTTTATAAAATATGTTTTTAAGAATATATTTTATAAGCAAAATATAACTTATATTATTAATAAATTATTATTTTATTTAAAAAATACTAAATACAATTTAATTTTCTAAGCAAATTTGTTTAGAATACAGTTTAAGGAATAGTAGAAATTTTAAGATATAATAATAAATTTAATTACAGAAAAAAATTTCCAAGATAAAGATTTCTAAACTATGTTTGTATTGCTAAATTAGACATTCAATGTGACATTATATCTCTTATTTTCTAATGAGTACTATAGATAATTGCTTCAAATTATTTTTTAGCTAAGATAAGTTGAAAAAAACCTTAAATAAAAGTCAAAATATTATATAAAGTATATAGTTAAAGTAAAACCTTGTAAAAGCTATTTGTTAATAGAATGTATAGTATTAAAAGGTTGTATATATATCTTGAAAAATTGTTACTAGAGGTGAATATTGTTAGAAAGTAAATTTTTGTGTTTTTAGTTTTAATAATTATGTTTTAAATAAGTCTTATTAATGCTAAAATTTATTGCATCTGGATCATAAATTTTGATAATATTAAATAAGAAAATTGTTGGCAAGATTGATCAAAAAAATATTTGTTTGTTTGTTTAAAAGGGTTTTAATATTATTATAGGTTGTTATAAAAAAATTGCCAAATATAATATATAAGATTAATTAGTAATTAGAATTGGTGAAGTTAGTTATAAAGTTTTAATAATATTAAAAATAAAGAGTACTAAACTATTAGATATTTGAAGTAAAATGAGTGTTAATTAAATTATATTAAGAATTGTTTAGTTTATATTAATATTATTGCTTGTACAAAGAATTAAATAAAGTGTGTTTTCAAGATTTGTATATTGGAAACATAGTGATGTTGTGTAAAGATAAGAATAATACATATTAAGATTTTTTATAGCAGGCAGGTTATTTGTAAGAATTTTGGTACAAAAAGAATATTTTTATATATTAAGCTTCATAAATTTAATTATTTAAAAGTTGAGAGCTCAGTTAATTTCTAAAATGTTTTAAAAATGTTTAAGTATAGACTAGGATGGGAGCTCTTGGATTAAGATAATATTTTTAATAAAATTATGAATTTTGAATAATATAATATAATTATTTTATAAAAATGAATTGAAATAATTGATAGTAAAAGTTCAAAAATAGTTTGAACATTCCTTGTTTGACTAAAGAGTCAGCTTAGTTATAAAATAAATTTATATATTATTTAATTTTTAAAAATTGTATATTAAAATTTTTAAGAGTTTTAAGATAATTAATAAAAAAGATAATATCCAAATTTTTAATATATAATTGTTTTAAAGAGAAGATGTGTTACAAGTTTTTGATTACTGTTAGTTGTTAAGATAATTGTAATAATAATATTTAATGAAATAACTAAAAAAAATAATAAAACTGTTTAGAGTTTAGTATAATTAGTATTAGTATATATATTTTAAAAGAACTCTTTCTGCAAATCCTTTACACAAATCTTAACT